AAAACGCCACTTTTTTCAAAATTTCTTGCTGTGGTTTTCACATCTGATGATTGCTTGTGTTGCAGTCGAAACGTCGTGAGAATTTTATTGTTTTATATTTATTTTATTTTATTGTTTCCCTTCTACGTGACTTTACCGAAAGAACCAAGAATATGAATAATAGCTATTAACTTACGACTTCCAGCACATAGATTGTTATTTCATAAACGTTTTTGTCAGGCAATACTATATTAAAGGACAGTTAAATGACCAAAGATAGTCACGACATGTCCATAATTAGCTAATTGTATGCTATATCATGATATTGCTGAACAGTGGTAACGCTAGCCAGTCACTTTTCCATTATATTTCTCGTATTTTAATCATTTATAAGTGCAATTCGTATTGTCGACTTAGCCTTGTTCAAATGATTGTTAAATATAGCTTCGGCTTTGTTAAATAAAAAAAAAACATATTCCGTCTTTTCAAAATAACTCGATGTTACCCAGCTCGCGGTTGAAAAAGAAGCAAATGTGTCTCAAGGTCTATATTTCATCCGCTAGTTAAATAAAGGAAACTACTTCTGCTTCTATTTCCCCAGCACCTTCCTACAGGTGGAACAAAGCATTCGAGCAGAGTTTGTTGAGCAAATGAAGCGAGGAGGTTCCAGCTGCTGCTTGTGGGAGTGCGTGTCCCTCCGCTGTAAAAACCACCCTTTATCCTTTATCGCCAGAGACACGTCTCATTAACGAGTGGCATTTTTTTGCACGGGTTTGGTGGGGGGGAAGCGCCACGCGTCGCTGATGTTGCTTTTTCGTTCTGTTTACGCCCGACGTTGCGTTGACAATCAAGGGTCCTTGTTTCCCCCCCCTCCCCCATGTGGCATTCCGAGACGGGTGAGGAGCGCGTCCCAGAAAGGAAGGACGTCCACGGGGGAGATGAGGGTGATTAAATAATCGCTTCATCTTGCTACATGGCGGCTTGAGAAGGCCTTCATCCAGCAGTGGAATGTCCATGACTGACGTTAATGGTTAGACCAGAGGACTCATGATGAACATGCCAGAGTTATCTCAAATGTGCTATTGTTCGAATCACGTCATGACATCAATGGAGATCGTCTTGGAATTTTCATGGCTGTTAGATGTTCACGTCAACGTGTAAAAAAAATACCTTGAAGTTGTCCTCGTTCATGACCTGTGAATTATAATAATGCCATTGATGTACCCAGGTAGGCGAAACCGAGGCTCAAGACTAACGTTCAGGAAGGTCCTGCATTGGGACGTTTGGCCATTCAATGAAAGTGTTTGGCCTTTAGGATGAACGAAAAAATGTCATGAAAGTCCATGGCACGCAAAGGGGAAAACATTCACATTTATACCACAGATAGACTCAACCCTCAGAAGAACCCAATTCATTGTCGACTGAGCCCTTCGCCGTACTGCCATTCCCTAGCCACCTTGCAGCCCCATGCCTGCAACGCCGAGCGAGCACAGGTGGGGCTTTCCCATCAAATTGTTAGCCAAGTTCAAATCTGCTTGTCACATTCAGGGTCAATTGGTTGCATGCAATAACGGTTCACTGCACGTTCGTCATCCGATATACATATATATTTGAGCACTCACAGCCGAACTAGGCCACGTTAAAATGCAAATGCATTGAAAATGCAAGTCAAATAACAAATGTTGAGCGGAGACCATCGACTCACTACAACATGAGAACCTGGTTTCATCGCAGGCGGCTCAAACCCAGGATTGAACCCCCAGGCCCTCGGAGCATGCTGGGCTCCGTTCCCCTGGCATGGTCATTCAGCATCCCGAAATCATTCGGCCACCTTTTTTTCTTTTTGGCAATTAGCCTTCTGTAACAATTCAGCTTTCCTTGAGCTTTTGCTCCGACTAAAAATTAATTGTCCTTAATAAAGAGGTTCGTACCGTACCAAGGAGCACATAAAAGAATATATACGCAATGCAATATAATGAAAATTAGATTTGTGGCATCTATACGCGAGCGCATCTCCACACGCAATTTTAAAAGAGGCATCTAAAGTCACCCCAAGTGTTCGTCGCTTAGAAACACAAACGGGCCTGGTGCTCTCCACCCTGCCAACAATGCATCGGTGCACCTTGGATTTTTCTTAGTCTCCTGAAATATTTATTTATCCCCTCCCCCATTCCCCTTCCCCTCGAAGTCAATTCATTACAGAGAAAATGTTTATTCTGTCTGCTGTTAAGAAACCGCTTTTTTGCTTGCGCAGCCGAGAAAATGCCAGTGAATTATTCAGGCCTATAAATAACGCAGCTTTGTTTGTGGACAGGAGCTATCCACGTGTCTCCGTGTGCCACAAAACGCGTGACGTTCTCGGCAACTGCCAGAAATCGTCGAAAACCGCAAGATAGCTATCTCCGGTGGACCTGAGGTCAAAGTCGCGTTGAGGTCATCTACTCATCTACCACAGCAGCAGCCCTGAGACAGTGGTGGAACTTCCAAATTCCTATGGCAAACCATGGCTGACCTCCCACAAAGTGGTTCTTGTTTTATTGACCCTGGAGAGAAGATTGGTTGAGTTACAACTGACTGCGATTGGCTAGAATTGAACTTTACAATTGTGAGTGTATGCTATATGTTACAGAATATAATAAAAATAACTGTTAAATAATAATAATAATATGCGATCGGGCGGTACACTGGCAAAGTGGTTGGTGCCCTGCGCTATAAACCCGGTGACCTCCGTTTGAATCTCGGCCACCACCAATGTCTGTACAGAGTGATGTCTGATCTGCTCCTGAGCACCCATTCACCAACCTGCACTGATTAGCGTGGTGAAGTATGGCTAAAAAACCCCCCGTGGCCAAAGTTTGGGAGACCTTCAATCCAGCAGAGGATTAACAAAGTAATGTATATTATTATTATTATCAATGCATTCTTACTAATGTTGCGAGTTCAACTGAGTCGCAGACGTACTCTTTGGAGGCAACACATTTATTAATACCAACACACGGAGTAACTGCCCCTTAACAAGATAACATCCTATGTTGGTGGAACACCAGGCTAACTGCACTAATCACACCGTAACTAGCTACTACGGACCGGACCCCAGCTTGGCTCCGGGTCCACATGTTGGGGACTCTGTAGGACGTATAACGTAGATTCTTCAGGATGAACAAGAGCAGCCGGTCCCTCTCGGGGACCCGGCTAAGATCCTCGGTGGCGTGGCTGGCTCAGCCCTTGGCCACGACCACCTTCTAGAATGCTTAAGCAGGATCTCGGCCCTGACACGTGACAACCCCTAGCCTGGGGGCCCTGTGTAGCCTTAACCGGCCACGTGTCCTTCGGGGTCAATCAGAGTGCCATGGCCTTTAGTAACCCCATTTCCATGGCCGGCACTCTCACGCCCTATCCTGTAGGGGTCGGCACTGCACGCAGAGAGTGGTGCCATCCAGCACTGCCGGTCAGTGCTCACCGAGCCACTCTAGGGCCGGTACTGCACCCACATATACGTGGTGCCCGCGATGTCAATACATTGCACGCGGTGCCTCTCTGGGGCTGGCACTTCTTGTGGCCTCAAGGTGCACCTGGCCCCGGCACAAAAACTGTGGTGATGTCACCGCCACTTTGTGGCGAACAGGCGTTGTTGTTGGGCGTGTGCTGTTACGGGCTCGAAAATTGTCTTTGAAAGAAATATATAGCATAGTAACGTGAGTACTTGCCACTTCCAGTGATTGGCCGCCGATGCCAGTTCATCGGCTAGGAGGCTAAGAACGCATGATGACGCCTGCATAGGCTGCGTGCACTGCAGCCCAGCAGCCAAAACGTGCTGGGAAGAAATCTGGAGTGTCCCAGGAGACTCCTTGCTGCTCGTGTTAGCGCTCAGCAGCAGCAGCAGCAGCTTTTTAATTCGAATGTAAAGCCATGCGTGAAACTATTCTCGTGCGTACGATATTTCTGCAAATGTGACATTTTGTAGATTTAATCGGGCATATGGCCACGGTGCTGGGCAAGGCTTAGAGTAGCGACTCAAGGCTTAGAGTAGCGACTCAAGGCTTAGAGTAGCGATTCAAGGCTTAGAGTAGCGATTCAAGGCTTAGAGTAGCGATTCAAACAAACTGCACTCAGTTTGTCTAGCTGTCGCGATCAATCTGCACGCAATCTCGGTCGTTCCATTGGCGCACGGCTGGCTTAATAAACCTCGACGTTTCCTTGACAGCCAGGCGCCTCATCAGGGCTGACAAGCTAAACATTGTTTATGTCCGCTTTCCCCATTTTCTGGAAGGCAGCCCTCGTTGGCAAGGCAATTCATTTGCTTTCCGCCGTGTTTGTCGGATTACGGGTTCGTACATTATGGTGCCCCGTACATTAAGGAGGGGTGTTTTTAATTCCTGCCATGGTGTAATGGTCAGGCACGCCGGACTTCTAATCCAGAGGTTGCAGATTCTGTCTCCCGAAGCGGAAGTTGGAACAACAGTGGCAAGTTTGTTTCTGAATTCCTCCCCGGCTCTGTCCACCCAGCGGTATAAAATGGGTTCACCACGGTCAGTCGAGTGGTAAGGTCGCATTGTGGTGGCAGTGGTGTGCAGGTGTTCCCAGCCTCTTCGAAGGCGTTTCGAAGAGTTGGATGGCATTACGCAACTCGGACCCGCAGTACGTGATAACGATTCGACTTGAATCAACGTAATAATGTACAGGTGCCGTCATGTGGGGTAACCGACGAGAAGCAACGGCTGCGCGAGGGGCAATGGGCTGTGAAGAGAGAGGAGAGGGCGCGCGCACAGCCAGACGGCGACAAAATAGCCACGCAGCTCTCTGATGTGATTTCTGGCCGTGCCACGTGCTGTTCGGCACGGTCTCCGACGTTTGGCTCCAAGTGCTGGGAGCTTCTGCACGAAGGTAGCACTACTCAAAAGAAAAAAAAACCCACACACAACCGGCGAGCCGCACGGCACGACCGCGAGGACCTACGCAGCGGCACAACGTTGACGACATTGTAACGGAGCCGCGCGCGAGACGGAGAGAAGGATACTCACTGGGGACCCGGTTGATTGCCCGCAGTGGCCGGAGTACCCGGACGGTGCGGATGGAGGAGAGACTGACGCTCTCCATGGCAAGAGAGTACTCCAGCATGCTGTACACACACACACAAGAAAGACAAATATCACCCATGTAGCCTTTAATAAACTGTTGGAGAAAGGGCTGTGAGAGAGAGCGGCAAACCAGGGGGTGGGTGGCGAGAGCCACATCCGGCAACCTTTTCTCTCCCCAGGGCTGATGTTTATAAATCGCACTAGGTACTCATTTAAGGTTGAGTTTACGACGGGGAGGTCCAGGGCTAATTCAGATATTCGCCACTGATACTGACCATCGGCAGGAAATTGACTATGCGGCCGGGTCTGCAGTGCCTTATGCTAACCAATGTGCCACCATTCCTCATAACAATAACAACAACGGCCACCATTCACCAGTAAGTGATGATGACGTTACCACAGCACTCGTGTCAGGCCAGGTGCACACGAACACGCACGCCATAAACATCATGGGCTGCGAGTGAAATTGCCGTACAAGCACAGACACAACAAACGCTTTCTCCCCACCGCATTAACAACAACTAAGTTGCTGCACACCAGAGGCTGACGCCGAAACAAAATTAGCATCCCATCCTGTCCGATCCCATCAGGATTTGCCCCATGCCATCCCGTCCTGCGAGCTTCTCAGAGCACGCATGCCGACGGAATTGCAGGCAGGCGCAAGCGGGTGCAGCACAGATGTATTCGAAGATAAAGCAGAAATTGTCATTGTGACCAAAATTAATGCGAATATTGAGGGACTGCATTGAGAGCGGTGCATCAGCACACTTCCTCGGTGTGTATGTTTAACTTCTTCCGCACCGTACGTAGCGCACAGTGCTAATCGGAGGTGCGGGGGAAGGACAACAGCACGAAACGCAAAAAGCGGTTCTAAAGAAATGAGTTTTCAATCGAGTTGGTCTAAAAGTGCATAGCTCCAGGGGGTTTCTAATAGTGCCAGTGGCTTCCTAACTACGACAGGCTGACGTTTCGGACTGTAAGGCCCTACTTCAGAGCAAAGGAAGCAGAGGTAGGGAGATGAACCGACTCATGGTTGCATATCATTGTACTCGAAGGAACTGGCATTTTTTTTTATTTGACATACATTGTTTTCAATTTCGTATTTCATAAGACCTCTCAAAGGTCAGCCACCGTTAAACCAGTCAAAGATGCGCAAACATTCATAATAACTTAAATTGTATTTAATTGCCTGAAAGGCTTCCAGTAAAATTTGGAGAGAGAAAAAAAAGGAAGTGCCTATTTGTGGACACTAATTAAGCTGTGCACAGAAACATGCAGAGTCTTCTGCTCGTACACGTATTCCCCCGGAAAAAAAATGAAACGTAACTCATTAAAAATGTATTCATAGTCATTGAGAACATGTAACTGGAACAGTGCGTGAGCGTACAGTCACTGCCAGCAGACATCGTGGATCTACTGGACATCTGTGAAAAAGAGCTTCATAGCTCATCGGATTCCTCCAGTCTAAATACATATTCTGATTCTCAACAACGATGCAATCCGTGATAATGCATTCAGCAGCCAATGGGGACCCTGCTCTCTTTCGTTCTTCGACATTTACTTAGTAAACGAACAAACGCGAAAACGTGCACAAAAAAACATCGGATCTCTCCCTGGATTCCTCATCAGCAACCTTCAGCCACATCCGCTGCACAAACCACGGCTGATGCGGTTGCACAAATGGGCAATTAACAAATCTCTCCGGCAGTGTGCGGCGACCGTGCTCACCATCCAGAACAGAACCGTGGACCGGGTACTAACGACTCAGTGCACGATTCACAAATACGAAGGAGGAGGAGGAGGCATCGTCACAGCGATACCACCGCTTATATTTGCTGCTCTACAGCAGCATCAGCCGTAGGGAGGAGAAGGCTGAAAATAGGTTTTCATTAATTCGATATGTTTGTAGCTAATGCACCGTGCTCTCAACCCGGTGACCCGAGTTTGATTCCCGGGCGCAGCGAGCACAGGTGGCAAGTTACATCTGATCCAGCCCTGAACCTGGTCGCCCCTTCACGAGCATGCCCAATCGGTCTCCTATTTTATATTTCTCCTTTTAAGGCCACCGAGTGTTGCTGTTGACGGATGCGTTGGGCTCTTTGGTCACTGTGCTCGTGAACACAGCAGCACCATGTACGTTGTCTGCAAAAGTTCAGCGGTGTGGAATGTTGGCGCACCACACTAAGGACCCGTCGACCTGCGAGTCATTGCGGAGACTTCCACATTACCGTGGCAGCTGCCAATTTATATACAGGGACTCCTCTACTTACGAACGAGTTAGGTTCCATAGGTCTGTTCGTAATTCGATTTGTTCGGAAGTCCAACTTTACTCCTGTCGATTCCAAACATGTTATACGGCATGTACACTAAACACGGGGAATGGCTTTAAAAGTTGTATAATCTCCCGTAGATGCCACTGGTTCTTCGTGTTCTGCAGATGTAGATGCCACTGGTTCTTCGTGTTCTGCAGATGTAGATGCCACCACCGCCATCTGTTGTGCGGCGGTTGAACTTACGACTCTCGGACAACTGGACATACGGACAGGATTGTTCGTATCTCTGAAAGTTCATAAGTCGAATGTTCGTAAGTAGAGGAGTCCCTGTATAGATTAACCGCTGTTGCTCACCCATATAGAGGTATTAATTTTTTGAACCTCAAGTGGATGACGAGTTGAGTCAGCCCTGACCAAGGTATTAACGCACAATAAGCAATGATGGCACCACCCAGTCAGCTGAATACCAACGGGACACCAGCATGGAATTAAAGGCTCCCAGCATCACCGTCTGATGTTCAGTTGAGCAAAAGGAAATTAGTGTCACCCAATTTAATAATAATACAATACCCTGTGGAGGAGCGATGTCACAGTTGTTCACACACTGCGCTATGAACGCGGCCAGTTGAGTTCAATTCACAGCCATGGGTAGCGTCGGCGACAAATGATATCCGAGCCGGTTCAGGCATCCCTGAACTGACCATCAACCTGCACTGATAAGCGTGGTCAAACACTCCATGGCCGACATGCCCTGGGAGAGGCCTCCTCCCTGCATTGGACTGACAACGGTGTGGAAATCAGCATTGATTATTATTTTGTTGTTTCGAGGGTGGCATGAGTGGCGTGGAATTGCCACTATCTACCCCAACGAACGCCCCTCTGCCGTTACCCTGCCTCATTTTAATTTTTCCAAAACACTTTACAAAACTGTGGCAAGAGGAATTTCAATATGATTAACCCTTGCCTGGGTGCGGTGCTTTTGTATGTAAGTGCATTGACACTTGAGATTATTATTATGATGAGAAATTAGAAAAAATGATCGCATTCAGTCAATATTTGGTGTAACTGGGTCTTTTTGTAGGGGGGGCCTTTCAACTACGGAATCACTTGATCACTGACGTCGCCGCCACTGATCTTTAGTGATCAAACTCGGGTTTACCGGGGGTTTCGCAGCGCCGTGCGCCGTCCATAAGTTCCACTGCGCTGGCCCACGGTGTCTCGTAGAAGGCGAACCCTTTGCGTGTTCGTTTACAAATTACCAGCAACAAGTGCAACAGGGAACTGACCCAGAGGCCACGATGAAGAAGTCGAGGCGGTTCCACGCGTCGCCCATGTAGCACTTCTTCCCGAACACGCCCAGGGCGACCATCTTCACCAGCATCTCCGCGGCAAAGAACGCGAAGATGAAATCATCAAAGGCCTGTAAGGGAGGCGAGCACGAAAGCCCATGTTTTATTCATTTGCTAAAACATTTAAATAGGCAAATCCCTGACAGATGAAACACCCCATGCTTTCGCTGATGTCCTGCGGAGAAATCAGCATGGAAATGCACGGCGTCTGAAAAAAAATTTGTGCAATGTCGTAAAAAATGTCTGCTAAATATTCAAATAACGCCCAAGTCAGATTTACTGGAATGCTGACAACGCTGACATATTGTGGATGGATGCTCGCTTAACTCGTTCAGGAGTCAAGGGGGCATTATAGCGACTGTAGTTGATAACACTACAGCTCGCCCAACGCTCCCTTTCCTTATGATAGATGCTGCTGCTGATGACGAAGAGTCAACGCTTGACCTCCACGGTCCGCTCTCACACGGCCTCCCACTGCCTCTGCCTTGAGCTCTCCCCCTCGTTATACCATTAGCACATCCTTCAAAAAACTTGCAAGTACCCTGGCTATCGACACACGTGACGTAACCCATACGCCGCCTGCGAAGCATCTCATCGTCATTGTCGCTGTTGGTGGATTTTGCACATGTTCACTGACCTCCGCGACCCGTCTCACTAACGCTGCCACCCCCCTCGCCCTCCACACGCGTCCCACCAGCCACCGCAGCAACAGCGGCAGCATCCTCGCTCTGGTTGCATCGGGAACGGCCTCACGCCACGCTCTTTGCCAAGCCTCCAAACTGCGTACCCATCCCAACCAAAACCTGCCACGCGATTTCCCGCCTCTGCACCTGCAGTCGCAGTGCGGATGCTTCTTTGGTCGTTGCTTTGTTAAAGTCTCTGACGTGTTCAGTGAGGTGGAGGCATTGCTCCTTGCCTCGAGCACCCGTCTTTTAACGAAGAGTAAGCAGACCTCAATTGTCATCCGAAGTTGTTTATGTAGTCCACCAAAATCCAGCCCTGCAAACGCATTAACTGTAATTAGGCCCACTAATTACTGAATGCAGATGCTGGTAAGCCAGTGTTATTACTGTACTTTCATTTATTGTTCGATGAGACGAATGTTACTTGGCAAGTAGTGGCTGCATTTTTGTTGATGACTTCACTTTGTAATAATTTGCCATGGGAATGTGGAATTGACAGTTCTGGCTCAGGGCTACCAATGGAGTTGACTGCCATCCACAGCTCCCTAGAGCATTTCACTTTACCCACAGCTAAATTTAATAAGCTGTAAACCCGCCAGTGGGTTCACAGCTAATGATAGGAATAATTAACTCCGACTTGACAACTCCTTCACTTATTCCACGACCGTTCATCACACAGACATCTTAATATCAGTGGTGCTCAGCTCACTCTCATCATCATCACCACCACTGTAATGCTCATTCTAGATCCAAGTTGTGCAATTATTAATTATCATTATAATTGTGTTGATTACACTGCGTCAATGTCATCGTAATAATTATTGTCGATAGCGCCAAGCACGATCCATCAAACACCATAAATAATGTCGCGATTCTTGTGAAGCAACGTAATCATTACTGGTGGTGCTGTGGTCAGTCTGCATCATCCATCATCATCATGTCTGTTGTCATAATCATTCTGCAGCATCATGCTTTTACAATCGGTAATTATTATACGCAGCATATCACCATTATTACCGTAGTGGTTAATATGAATGTAGAACGTCTTTTGCACCGTACGTAGCCAACTGTACCAATCGGAGGCTAGCACGATCATTGTCATCGTGTCGGTATCAGTCTTCATTATCATCATGCAAAATCATTCTGTCGTGTGCAGTGTGTGTCACCGTCGTCGGCACGTGGCGCTGTGTCGTGCCAGCGAGAGTCCTACCTGCAGCACCTGACAGCGCTGCGAGTGGCACTCCACCTCGGCGCAGGGCTGGAACATGCCCAGGGTGGCACAGTTGAGCAGGATGACGAGCATGCTCGCCCGCTCAAACCACCTGCAGCCGCTGTCAAGGTCAACCAATGGGCATGTCGACGCGACCACAAGTCCACACAGTGACATGACCACACGGCAACGCGACCACACGGCAACATCTCAGTACAGTGACGGCCACGCAGTCAGAGGGAGCAGCACAACCTCGCCGTGAAATCACCACACGGCAACGCGACAACATAGCAGCGGGACCGCACCGTAACATGACAGCACGAACTGCATGACCAGACCGTGCCACGAACCGGCAACAACGCAGCCATGCGGTGACAAGATCAAAACGGTAGCAAACTTCCCGGTGACACGATGGCATATTGACATGATGTCGCAGCGACACGCTCATATGGTGACACGACCGCACAGGCAACGGGACCCCACGGTGACACGGGTGCAATTAAAGAAGTCACCGTGACCTATGCCTTTGATGTCATCGCACCTCGCAATCGCCGCCTTGCTGCTCACAAATCTTGCAATGGCGGTGGTGCCCAGGCTCAAGTAAATTTGGACTGCTATTAAATTATCGTCGTCGTCATCATGCGACTACTATTAAGGAATATAAACATGTTTTTCGTTCGTGGTCGTGGCACTTACAAACTTGAAAAGTAGTGCCAGGGATGAGCGTCCGACACCTTATCCAATCCATAGTCCCCAAACAAAACGTCTTCTTTGCAAGATGATCATGCGAGGCTGAGTCGACCTAGGGAAGGCCTAGGACCATCCCATCAAGTATTACTCGCCACAGACGTTAGCCGCTCAAACAAATCACTCGAGACGCCGGTGTATGGCAGCAAGAGCAGTTTATGCGAATGCTGTCGCAAGAGAACCACGAGTTTGGCTCAACGGTCATCCGCTGACCGTGCATGCTGAATGGACGAATGACGTGAGCCGTGGCAAGGAATCGAACTCAGGTCGGTGGCCGAGTAGTTCCAGAGTACTGTGAGCTGTCCACTACACCACGGCGTCCCCACTACTTATGCCGCAAGGCACAGACACACACACACACGAGGTACAGACGCATCAAAACTCAACAAGACGCGCTGGCAAACGCTACAAATGGCTATGGCAAGGTCTGAATTGCCACCGTTCAAGGTGAACTAGACATCATGTTTCCACTATTCCAACACCCACACTCGGAAATCACCAGCATTTGAAGCCATAAATAGACATGGGTTGACGTATATATACAGATTATTTGGCTGCTATACATTTCCACAAGATGAACGACTTAGGTTGAGCTATCAATTGTAGCCAGGTTGCTTCTGAAAAAGAAACTAATAGCTCAGTGGGCTTTATAAGTTTTATTTGTACGTGATTTGCTTACTTTTCCTATACTTTGCACTCCTAGCGTGTTGTTTTTGTATTATTGTTGTAACTTTCTGACCCACCCTGGCTGGATATCTGTGAAAAAGAGCTGTGTAGCTCATCGGATTCCTCCAGTATAAATACACATTATGTTTCTGACCTGCTTTGATTATTTTAAATGATGAGGGGATGGTGGGGAGAGGGAAATCATGTCACAGCTACCGTTCAGTCATTAAACAATGAGAGTACCACACTACAACAATGGTAAAACTCCGATACTTTCACGGGTATCCAGCTAAGCATTAATAGTACAGCGATTAAAACATATGAATTGTATAGGACCACAGTCTCAATACAAAATGTTCTATTCATCGTAGAACCCCCAGCGATTATCCTCCTCACCTCTGACTTTCCCTCACCTTGTTGCATGTTTCTTCACCCACACAATCACACAGGGGTTCTTTATAACAACGAAGATTCACAGTCCTTTATTAACGCACTACCGGCTGGAGGAAGCCCACCCAGGCCCTGGTGGCTATGGGGTGAGGAGGGTGCTAGGGTAGGGTGATAATTAACAGCCGAGTTGCTGGTTCAGACACCACTCGCCACTTCTGTGAGCTCGCGATGACAAAAATTCAACTCAGGTTGCCGGCCACAGTGAGCGAACCACTGTGCTCACCGCTCCCCCAGCCGCCTAAATCTTCGCCTGTGTGTGAATCTATTTTTTGCGATAACAGACGCACGTTTTGAAGCTCAGCAAACATGAGTTATTGTTTTAATAAAAAAAGCAGCTGCTGGATAAGATTTCCTCTTCATTACCTCTAACTGCAAATGACCATTAATAAAAAAACATTCCTGTATATAATTACGCTGTAGCTTCGGGCTGCCTATATTTTTTCTACATTCATAATTCTCGATGTTGCAGAAATCATTAAATGTTTCCCCCCCCCCCCAAGAGTCGGGTGAGAGATACATTCATTAACGAGCGTTCGAGTGTACAAAGGTGGTGTTTGAATATCGTGTAATTTGCTTATTTTGTTCTGTACGTAGATTCTCGCCGTTACCGTTTGCTGAATGGGTTCATTTCGCCGTTGTGTTCACGCTGTACCCACCTCAGATGAATCTGCTCTGAGGTACGAGCTTTTCATGATCTACTTCGCTTTAACTTTCTGCCAATGTCCTCTACTTAAACAGGTGAGATAGAACATGAAGATAAATTCTCTCTTTTGGCAATACAACTTTCGTGTGTATATGAGGACATGTCGCAGAGATAGGGTCAGTCACGAGGCACCTGAGCGAGTGAGTTATATAAATCCAATAATTTTGATTTAAAGCTTTCGTGACTGCAGGGATTCATATTCTTAGTTCTTTCTCGGACCGAATGCGGTCCGAGACATGTCGTTTGGTTTCTCGGACCGCATCCGTGAACACAAAGCAGACCTAAAACATGGTAGGACCAACACCTCGGCCGTGGCAGATCACTGTTATAATTAAGTAGGCTCACATGACATTGACTTCTCCAAGACAGAGGTTCTCTGCAAGCCATCTGGCTACCATGAGAGATTCGTTCATGAGGCTATCCACAAATACAAACGCAGAGACAATTTCAACCGAGAAGATGGATTCTGGCTTAGCAATCATTGGAAGGATTTGATAAACCATTTAGGGTCTTAATTGATTGTTCACGCTTACGGTGGCTTTCAGACCGCATCCATTATTTTCGTCCCCCCCCTCCTCTTTTCCGAACATAGATGGACTCGTTCATCTGAATAACTGCCAAATCGCTCTCCGTGGTGCTAACGTTAAAAAAACCCGCCACTTTTTCAAATTTTCTTGCTGTAGTTTTCACACCTGATGATGATTGCTTGTGTTGCAGTCGAAACGTCGTGAGAATTTTATTGTTTTATATTTTTATTATTTTATTGTTTCCCTTCTACGTGGTGACTTTACCGAAAGAACCAAGAATATAAATTCAATGATGTTCGAGAAGAGCCAACTAAGCCGACACTTGGCAGAAATAGAGCCGAGTGCACACATATAAGTATGAACGTTTAAGCAGTTTTAGGATTTGAACGTAGGCCTATGAACATATTCACCGCAATGTTTTGAAGGATGCAGACTCATTGTATGACACGTATATATCTTTATATATCAAAGGGATATTTGTGAATTGGTGTGTCTGTTCGAAATGTTTAGCATACTTCCCGACATGCAACAAACTTTAAATATGGCATGTGGGTAGCTTCCAAACTCTACACAATACAAAAAGTATAAAAATTTACTTTTGTATTTTTTTTTGGGGGGGGGGGTGGAGGGGGGCGCAACAATAGATATATGTTGCACCCAAGTGAGCGGTGACGTCACATCTGTGATGTCACCCGCGTGCGGCAGCGTCACGCAATGTGCCTGCTGACGTCACGCATCCCCCCTACCATCCGCGTAGGCCGTGTATTAATCCAAGACAAGAATCCAAGTCCAGGGCAAAGCCGGGAAGTAAAGCTCGTTAAATATATATGCAGCAAACATTGTACATTTTAGACTCCCCCCACAGAAAAAAATTGGGAGCTAAATCTTTAATGCCCATTAATTAAACATTTCTGCGCGTAATTATGCTTTTGCTTCGGGCCATTTATATGCTGTTAAGATTATAATTCTCAACATCAGATTTACACAGTTTTGCATATGGAGGTTCGGAATGTAAATTTATCCAGCTGTTGGATAAGATGTCCTCCAAAGAATACCCATATTCTTTGAGTACTCAAGGATATATTTTTAATTAGATTTCAGGAGTAGTCCAGTACAGGAAAAGTAAAAAGCCCAAATGTGCTACCACTAACGAGTAGATCTGTGGACAGTAAACTCTCGGACAATCATTCAAAGGATCTCGGATTTAAGACAAAATCTGATGAATCAGAGTTTTGTCCAAAGATCGGACAACAACAACAACAACGGCCTTTGCCCCAAACAACGGACTAAGTTCAGTAATGTGGAAATCAGTCCGGTCAATTTTCGCATCTTCTCCTTAATGGGTATACAGTATGTATTATATTACGCGTGTTTTTGTTTTTGTTTAAAACAGGTCAAAATAAGAGAACTAGAGGTGGAACATAATCTGTACCATACATTTACAGTACTTTGGTCTTTAACAATATTTTTCAGAATAGTTTCGTAGACATAACATCACGACAAAGGTGAACAGTTTAAACAGAACGGGTTGATATGGTGTTACAATACAAAGGCTTTACATGTACCTTCCACTCAAATCATGCAGGCAAAGTTAGAATTTATTATGAAAAGCATTACAATATTTTATAATTGTCACTACTGAACTATGAGTAAGTATAAAAAATAGGTTTGACCCTTTCTGGCAATAAAACTGTCGTGTTAAGATGTTAAAACACCAAACAGCATCCTTTTTTTTAAGGAATCCTGTCTCCATTAACCACACGTTCTTGTGGTGAACATGCAAACAAAAAACATGCTCTGATCACATATGTGGCATTGTCTTTTAAACTGATTGGTTCACACCAGAGACAGCTTTCTTTAGATCCTGGTCTCAAAGTGTTAGACCAGAGGACGCCAAAAAAATAACAATAGGTCATATTTTGATACTGAAAGGAAGGTTCCATTTTGTAGCCTCTCACCCCGAGCTATAAATTCCCTGATAGAGCATTCGCTGTTCGCCTTTGGCGTTCTCTGGTCAAA